CGGGTTGTCTTCGTCACCAGTGCTTACCACCTGCACGGCAGGCCCAGGATGGCAAATGAATGCTACAGCTCCCGACCAGATGCAAATTGGCCAAGCCTACTACGCAGCTGTTGATGGCAAAAAAGCAGGTTGCACTTGAATTCAACACAACATCTAGGTCCATGCAATTTGGGTAGTTACCACTAACAGCGTGCAAGGATATATCAATTGTGCGTACTTGGGTCTGTCAAGCAACGTTGCGACTATTCACAACTACTCAGCTGGACTATTCAATATCAGGTTAACCTCTTGCGTTATTGAATCATGCCTGGGCATGCCGACATAATTTCAGACCTGGATCCGTGTCAAAATACCGGGACCCCCAAAAACATATTGCAGGGTATCGTTGACCCGGATGACAAAGCCTGTCGTATTAATACAACAGGTGATGGCACATGGAAGAAACCCAATTCTAAACCAGTGGAACCCATCTATTTCTAACCCAACTCACCGATCAAAGGACATGTCCCCAATCAATTCCAACCCCAGGTGCAGTTACCAAACCCAGCGAGGCCGCCTCGGCGCCCAGCTTGCGGCACTGCTTCGCCGTGGTGAGGTTGAACAAATACCTCGCCGAAAAGTCGGAGAGGCTCGCCAAATCCAGTCGAGTTGCCAATCCCTCCGCCCCAAGCCCAAAGAAGAACAAAACACACATAGCGTATCTGTATATATTGAATCATCCAATAGCAATAGAAGCTATTTGGCATCTTGAGCGGAAGGAAGTTCAGTCAGACCAACAAAACACAAAGCTTCAGCAGCAACATGGCCACACAAGTAAGAGCTGCGAGTCAACAAGGATGCTGAAACAAGCTCACCACTTGCTGACTAACCATGAGTAACAGCTTGACCACCATGATTGAGACAATGATATATGACCAATGGCCAATGACCCTTGCCGCTTGCAGTGCCGGAAGGTGATTACAAATTGGATCAAATATCCCACACCTACGCAATCGGAGCGATTTACATACTGTTTGCAGTTTTTCCCCTCTGAGGTGACTGCCCAAAACAACTAGAACAACTATGGTCAGGTTGAGCTGAACTGAGGGAACAAACTAACAAAGGCACCAAGCCTACGCCGCCTCAACCTTGATCCCGGTCATGAATCTTGACATGTTGTGGATGGGGCTGTTGAAGGCGGAAGTTCATGGCAACACTGGAAATTCTCCCCTCGGCACCATTGATCTTGTAACCTGTCTGGGCCATGGAAAGTTGAAGCTCCAGTCCAGGGGAGGCCAGAGCTTGGCAGCTGTCCCCCTGGCTTCGCCCACCAGCAATCTTCTGTTTTTTAAGAAGCAAGGGCAAATAAGGAAACTGCAGGTGGAACTCACGTCAGGCTTTGCGCTTGCGGTTCCCCTCGCCCTTCTGGCGGGCAACGCGTCTCGGCCCGGTGCCGTGCAACGGGCTTCCGCCTCGGCATCCGCGAGTAGCTCCCCTGGGCAGATTGGCTTTCCGAAGGAACCGGAAGGATCTGCATAAATCCAAAAGGAAGCCTCTTGGATAGGCCAAGGACACTAGAGAAAAAATTGAAGGTCCACCTGCAATCTGCAAATGCTAGACAACATCAAGATTGCATCAGGATGACATTTTGGTTGGCTGGACATCCATTGCCCAAGCGGTGGATATTCAGCACCCAAAGTGGCAGCCCATGGTCCAGGAAGGCAACTCATCGTCAACGCGTCCCACCAGTGTAACCGCCCTATATTGTGCTTCAATTCAATCGTCCACTACTGTCAAATGTATTTCCCCCCGTTGCCTTCATTATGCTGCCTTTCCCCAGCCAGTGCATGCGCAAGCCGGGCTTCTACGCCCTGCAGGTTTCAGACATTTCACCAAATCTGTGGCTTCTGGTTAGTAGCACCCTTGTCATAGGTGGCCTTTTGGAAAAAATAGATGGCCCTGGTAAATGGAACGAAACCCATCTAAACCAGTGCCATGAATTTTTATCCAAACCTAAAAAGGACGCCTCTGGACCTTCGTTGACCCCCAACCAGCTTCCGGGTTCCTAGGCCGGATGGAGGTTGGCCAAGCCCCGCCTGCGTAGAAGCACACGAAGCCGCCGGGAAGAAGCGCCTCCGCGGCAACGGCGCCCCACCCAGTGGCACCCATCCTGCGACAAGGGCGCCCGGAGGGGAAGAGCCAAGAAGCCGCCGGGTTCTTTCACTTCCCCCTTTTCACCATTCAAAGCCCCCCCCACTCCCCTCAAACCCCCCTCCTCCAAAAGCCTCCCCCCCCTTTATGGAACACTACTGGAACTTGCACATGCAAATGAAACTCATGAAGCTTGAGCAACTGGGTAACCTCAGCGCTACAAACCCGTGATTCATAGCCTCCTGGAGGTTAACAAGGTTTTGACCCCTGCGCGGCCCTCCGGCGGCAGGGGAGGGGAGTTCCTTGCAACTTGTGGAAGCCTGACAAAACATGTCTGGTTTCTGGCTTTGACTTGTCCTTGTCTGAAATGCACCACTGTTCGCAGGCAAAACTCCAAAGAACGATCCCGCCCCTTTTACTTTGCTTTAACCCCATACCAAACCAATGCTAAACTCTTTACAGCTCTCATTTAGGGCGCACTTTCAGCACTTCCTTTTGCGTTGTAGACTCAAATTTGCGAAATGTAATTGTGACTTTGCCTTTTAATTTTTGTTTTGACAATTCCGAAAAGGGGCTTTAAGCAATTCCATTTCAAATTCCTTACTCGGCAGATTGCGATTTGACGGATTTTGCGCCGGGAGGATCCCATTTGCACGAGGGCCGTAGTGGAACCCTCCTCTCCTGGTTCCCTATTGATGCAATTTCCCCCCCTGCACGCCCCAAAAGAAATAAATAAGGGGGTACCTGGGCATGGGTGTAAGCGGAGAAAAGACGCAGAGAGTAATATGACAAGTACGCGTGAATTGGACAAAGAGCATGAGTCGACAACGCCTGTCTGAGCCTTCATGATTCATGGCACTTGCCTCGGCTTGCTCCGCAAACTAGTCGGTTGGATGGGGCATTGGCATCCACGTCTCCCCCAAATGCCTTCGCTGGGGCAAACATGCCGTCAATGTCGTCTTTCGGCATACCTTGACTCTAAGGCCTCAACTACTGAAGGTGCGCTGAGCCATACCCTTTGCGCACCCATCAACTGACATAAGCAACATATATATACATATATATATATATATACATACATGTAGAATATAAATCCGTGTTTCCATATGTCAGGGCTGACCTGCCTATTGCAAGGAACTTCACTGCACGCAACTGTTTGATTGGAGCTCAACCTCTGGACTGACATCAGGCAATCCTAGATGTAATTCAAGAGGCATCCCCGTATGGCCGTCTCGCCCCGTGTCTCAATGTGGAGACAGTCTTTGCGTGAGGCAGCGCGTTCCACGCCCTAGGTTTGTAACATGATGGATTGCATGTAACATATACAAACAGCAAGTTTACTCTCTATTTAGAAGTCAAGATTTGTGTGATCCTCTTGCTTCATTTCAGCCAGCGATTCTACTTAGTTGCGAAGTGACGGTAGGAACAGGGACCCTTTTTGTGGTTGACTATTTTGAGCGGTGAACTTGTGAAACGAAAAGGATGCCACAGAACGTCCCTACTTAATTAGAAAACCTCAAAAAAAGGACCCTAGGGGGGTGACACTGTTCAGTCGGGAACCCACCAAACAGCAAGGGATTTCCATTTGTCTCCCCGCCAGCCCGCCCCCCCCTCCCCCCCCCCCGGGACCGGTCCACTGCACCCGCAGCTGTGGTGGTTGCAGTGGCTCTCGGGGCTCGAAGGCTGCCAGGGGCGCAGGGAGGCCTGGCGATTTCCATATGGGGGCTTGGTCTCTGTCAAAAAAGAGAGGGGAAAACCACCACGCTTTTTTGCAGTTTTGACATTTTTCCCGGTAGAATGGTAGAAATAAGGGGGTCAGCCGGACAAAACATCTGCCATGATTTAGTCATCCCCTGTATTTCCCGACATAAATTCAGTACGACAGTCTGCTTTCACGGTGTAACCTGAACCGGAGCTTCGCGAAACCCTGGCTCTACACAACCATGTGGGGAGGTTCAATCGAAATGGGTTGGAACCCATTTGCTGCTTCGTTTCAGGGTAAAACCAAAAAGGAAGCCGTCATTTTGCCCCCCTCTATTTTTGAGAAATACCTACCCATGTGCTCAACTGCCAGTTCTGAGGATATCTGCTAACCTCATCCGACCAAACGGTTTTTCTGTTTTCGCTGCCTGCGGGGAAGCTGTCCCCACACGAGTCTGGCGGCGCGGCATCAAGAAGAAGAATGCCCCTTCTGGGATTCAAGGCCAGCGCCAAGCTTGTCAGATCGCTCAACATGAAAGTCTTTTTTGCGGGTTCCCTGGGATGAAGCCACAAGAAAACACACTATGTTGGAGGTTCCCCGATTTCAAGCCACACGTGAATATGACAAAGGTGGCAAAACAAAACGTCTGGAGCTCCTTCCAGCACTCTCCGCTTCGCACTGCGTCACTTTGCTCGTTCGCGTCTCAACTGTTCAGGCATCAAACTGCGATACACAAGTGAAACCTTCCTGCATCTAAGGGTTGCCCGAGACTGCTGGCGAAAATTGCTAGCAAGAGTGGCACATGCACTCTGCCTGGTGCTCGTATGTTATCCGAAACATCGGCAGGGCGTGGCGTCGCACCAGGAAGTTCAGCAGGACTGGTTGGGCGAAGGCTTCCCTCTAGCATGGCCATTGAAATCTTAATCCCTGAGTTTGGCGCTGGAGTTAAATCAAACAGAGCATCCTTGTTGGCGCAACTAGTGTTCGACCCCGGCCTGAATTTCAAGCAGGCATGAATAACATATAAGCTCGCTTGCTCCCGAAACCTGAACATCTATGAGCATCCTGCAACAAACCCTTTAACAGCCTCCATCTAATTGGTGGTTTTGATCGGTGGTTTGGGAAGCCCCTCCTTAACCACCAAACCAGCAATCCAAACATATCCAAACCAATTAGAGGGAAGCTGGACAACCAAAGGCCCCAATGCTTCGGCTGACCGGCTCCGGCCTTGGCACATGGCCTGCAGCCTTCCCGCCGTAAAGTCTCCAGCCCCGCGGGGCCGCACGAGCCGCCAGGCAGCTTCTGCCTGCCCCGGCCGACAGGAGCTGACCGGGTGGAACCTGGCACCGGTCAGCGGTCAGCCGGTCACTTCTTTGCACTTCGGACAAAGGACCGCTTTGGTCGGGCTGTGCCAAGTGATCATGTGGCTGCTTGCGAGCTGCTGCACGGGACTGTGCCCAAGGGTTTCGGACGCATGCAACAATCACCAGACACCAACTGCCACAATCCCCAACTGCCAAGCGCCTTGCAAAGTGCCCAACGCAAATCCACTGCTTTCTTTCCATGAATCACCAAGAACGATTAAGGCGAGTGCTCTGGTGCTGCACGACCCTGCAAGTGCCTGGGCGCGGGCATTTAGTCTTCTGCCCTTGCGTTACATGCGATGATCCTTACCTGCCTGCTGATCTTATATCTCCTGGTGCCTGCAGCATGGCGCTTATCCTTGTTGCTCATTTCAATTCCATCCAACCTATGCAGTTCAACGCTTAGCCGGTTGTGGAAATTGCATGAAACTCTCGGAGGCACTCCATTTCAAAGTCTACTGCGCTTTTCACTGCACCACGAGGAATGCGGCCATCCTCAAACCCTTTGAGACCTCCACTGAAAAAGCACACAAACTAATTAAAGGGTGAGTCTCAACAAAAAACAAACATAGTGGTTTCCCCCGTGGTTTCCTTCTCAAAACCACCCTGGGTGCCCTGAAAAAGGAGGTGCGCATACCGCCGCATAGCTGTTTCTGCGCTTGCGTCATTGAAACCGCTTCAACTGGCCGGCCATGGATCCAGCAGTCCAAGCGACAGCTCGGCGTCAAAGCCTCAGACGTGTGGAGTCCGAAATGCATCCCCTGGAAGACCCTCAACATGTGTTTCCCTCATAGGATTGATTTACTCAGGCTGCACGTTGTGAGGCACATGCAAGCAATAGCGTGCCTCAAGCTAAACCTGCAGGATCCTTCAGAACCATAGTAAAGTGCTTTCTCCTGGCATGGATTGATTCGCGTTTGGTCACAGATTTGGAAGTATATAAGGAGTACTCTTCCAATTGCCCCTTGACAACAAGTTAACGTGTAGCTACACGCGTGGACTTGGGTTGGCGGAAAAAAGCACAAATCCCAAAACTGGGGCAATGGATGCGTCACTCAGAGTCTGGGAAGCGGCTGGACTGCGAACAGCAAAATCCGCCAACAATTGTCCGCAAACCAGCTTGCCAAGAGACGCAAACGACCAACTGGCAACCGGGAAAAGCAACTTTGAGATGGTTCCCAGTGGGGCTGCCCGAAAAAAAGAAGAAAAACAAAATACACACACACACACACACACGTCTGAAACCGAAACGAGCAACACAGAATCCAATATACCTGTCTCTGTGGGAGAAGAAAAGGGGGGCCATGGATTGAGAGTGCTGCCTTCCGCTGGTTGCATAGATGGCACGCGCAAAATCGAAACCATGCCAGACGAGCTTCGAGCTCTGTCTATGGGCAAAAGCTGCAAGGCCTGCATCAACAAAAACAACTTGGAAAAGAAACACCCGTACTTGTCATGGTGCCTCATGCTTCAAAGTGCGTCATCCACACTGATAGGATCTTAGCAGTTCGGCAGGAATCACATGGCAGCCCATCTCAGCGCAACAGTCCCATTGCCAACTGGTGGTGTTGGTTCTTGCAGTTGGCTCTGCCTGAAAACGGCATACGGCGACAAAGGCAAAGCTTCCTTTCGCAGGACCGCGGACCCTGAAATGGGAACACGCCCAAAACCGGGTGTCATGACTGGTGCGCCAATGGTCAGGATCCTCGGAAATCTGGAACGGCTTCGTTTGCGTGATCCCCGTCTAAATCTTGGTTGTCAAAGCTTCCCCAACGAAAAAAAACGGCCTAAACAGCTGACGATCCATCATGCATCTGCTAGTTGCTTGCGGCGAATGCACTTGTTTTCTGCATTCTATGTGTGGGCCAAGGACGGACTAAGATGGCGACGAAAGGCCTTTGGCTGCCTTCATAACAACACTGGGCACGCGACATGAAACAAACCCTCGTACAATGATCAAGTCGGCCAAGAATGAACATCCATCTCCGCAAAACATCGCACACGATGCCTCCCAATCGGTTGAGCAAACTAGAAACATCTCGAAACAAGCTTCCACTACCAATGCCCTTGCAGCGCCATCCGTGAGGGTACGTCTCTGGACGATCTTCTATACCAAGGAAGTCCGATGACCACCAAAGCAAAACAAAATGCACGAACCCGAGGCTACTTGCAATAGTGGGAACTGGTAAGGCCGAAGCCGGAACCACCCCATCCGCCTCCTTGCCACCCAGGCACAGCTCTCATCACAGGCCATGGGTCCGCCATACGCCCCAATGCTCCGTGAAAAAAGATGGATGTGATGAGTGCACATTTGTCTGGGTAGTATGCAGTGCTGCATGCGTGCGCACGATTTAATTTTCAGATACGCATGATTATGCATCCGCATGTGCCCTTGTTAAAGTGATCAAGAAAGAAGACATGTTTATGTACTGCGAAACGCCTTTTTGTGCTGTATCACAAATACAGTTTGTATATGTATATATATTATTGTTTCTATATATATATATATACACATACACATGTTTTAAACAAATGAACAAGCCCTTGATCCATGGTGCAATGGTTCTACTCTTGGCGTGCTCAACGCAAGTGTGGTATGTTTTTTTGCATAGCTGTGGGGGTCTAAAGGTCAAAGGCCGAAGCTTGGTCCAGGCGAGAAGGCTTGTTGCAACTCAAGGACCTCATGCAGTTGGTAGAAAAGATCGCTCCCGGCCTAAAGGCGGCAAAATGCGGAGATTAGACACGCCACCACAAAACCTAATCAAACAAGCAAGGGTGAATGGTGTTGGATGCCAGCAATCACGCAGCAAGCTATGCAATCACAAAGTGGGAGAGCGGTCCGACCGAGGGGGTCTATTCCATGAATGCTGTGTGGTGTGTTCCCTCTATTTCCCTCTGCCCTGGGTCAAGGTCCTCCTATCTTCACACCCACGCGCACGCTTTGACCAACTGTGCTTCCAATGAAACTAGGAGGCTTCGGACTTACTTACTTGGTGGGCCCAAGAAAAAAAAACAATTCTTCCGTGGATTCCAAGTGGCTGATCTTGGTGCAGGCTTTCCCCAGGAGTGCCAGCACCGACTCGGTATTCTTGTGGCAGGCCTCCGGAAAGACGGGGGGGGGGGTGGAGGAGGAAGGGCGCGAGTGAGATCCTGGAAAGTGGGCACATCAAACCTCTCTCGATCTGGACATATATATGGTATGCAGGTGCATTGTGTGTATACATACATCATCGCACAAGCTAATGGAACTCAGCTTCCAAACGAGCGTGATGGGCCACTGCATGGCGAAAAGCAACCCAAACCAGAGGAACTTCTCTCGCAACAGGTCTTCGGCTCATTCTGCACCCGCCTCTTGGCTGTGCATCCCAAATGCGCACATGCACCGGCTCCTTCACTCATTTACAACCTACTAGACGGAGAAACCACACACCAGCTGGTGCAGGCCAATCCCAATCCATCCCTACTGCCAAAGCATTGCCAAGGTTTCCTTTGAACAGCCCAGTTTCTGGGCCTGCACGTTGCTAGCTTTAGGCGAACCACGACGACAGGTTGAGACAAAGAATTCAGGCCATGATCCCTTTCAGGCGCGCGCGCCTGAATGGTCTCGATCATGAGCCCCTGGTTGGCCATCACCTTGGAGGAGGATGTGCCTTCTACGTTGGTGTGCGTAGTGTGACGTGTCTTTTGATTGTTCATATTGGCGCTCACTTCGTCTTGTTTGCCGGTGTCATGGTGTATGCACGCGCGCATGTGCAGGTCCGCTGTCGGTCATCGCGCACTTCCTCTCGTTTCGCATGGCGCCTTAGCGTCGCCACTTTTTCTCCGAACTTAATCCATTGAGCAGAGCTCGAAACCCCTGGTTCTAGCACATGTTTTGGCCCAAGACAAACCCTCCAATTTCCCGCAATCAACAAGGGCTTTGCTGGTCGGATGTTGCCCACTATACTTTGGAAATTCATCGTGGCTCTGGCAGTGAGAAGAGCTACTGCACAAGCTATGCCGGCAAGGCGCTGCGCCAAAGCCGTGCCTGGCCAACTGGCGCAAATCAGCACCTCAGCATGCCACAAGACCAAATCTGCACACAGAACATTGGCCGCTTACCTATACTTTGTCATTGAGAGCTTAAGTCACCTTCCTCTTGAAGTCTTGTATGCAATCCTATGTTTATATACATATATATATATATACATACATGAGTAAATATCATATATGTGTATATGCGTCGGGGACTCCTACATGGTGTTTGTGCTAACTTTGCCAGTGTGGTTTTATTTCACTAACCGGGCCAGCATGATCGAACATGTCCTAGTGTTTTTGAACTTCCTTCAATTCACCAATGGGGAGTGAACACACATGTTTTTTCTCCGACAATCATTCCCTCACCTGACAAGCAAGAAGGCAAAATGGGGCCAACAAAAAACGCAATGTTGTCCAGGTGGATAAGCAGAGTTTTGGGGGCTGGCGGTGTCTCAGATTGTTGCATAGTAGAGTTTGCTTGAAATGCTACCAAGGAGGGTTGACCTGACTGAGGTTCCAAACAGCCACAACCAGTACTAAGCCAGAACTTCACAGTACTCACTGGAAGACTACGTTGGCAGGCCCGAATCCGATTTTTGTGTTTTTGGCCGTTTTTTTTTTTGGAGGGCGGCATAATCACTACACCACATTCACGTGGCGTGGCCGATGGGGCTGTGTTTAGAGCATCAACAAAACGGGTAATCTGCAATTGCACTCAATTACAAGGGCAACTAGGACAAAACAACTGCTTTGCGTAGACCCCAAGAAGCCCTGCTCACGCGCACTCGCTCGGCACTGCGCACATGTTTGCCCGCGAGCAGCGTTCGCTCACACACACACCCACAAACACACTTGATAAGAAGCCCAACTCAAGCGCGCCCACTTTGCGCTGCACAGAAGCAAGAGCCCTGTTCAAGGGCACGCAGTTGTCAGCATTGCACGCGCCACTGCCGAGCGATAAGAACCCACGCTGAAGAGCGCCCGCTCCGAAATTGTACATGCTCCTGCCACATTAGAAGAAGCCCCACCCTAGCGCGTGCGCTCAGCACTGCGCGCATACTTGCCAAATGCTACGCCCCCCCCCCCCGCCCGCCTCCTCTGCGCGCACGCCTGCGGAATAATAAGAACCCCCGCTGACGTGCACGCTCAGCACTGCACGCGCGCCTGCCGCATAATAAGAACCCCTGCTCAAGCGCACCGGCTCAGCACATGCAAAATAAGCAGTGCAATCAGAAGCAAAGCAAACAAAGCAAACTGTAAGCACAACACCCCCCCAACAAGTAGAAAAAACAAAACTATACAAAAAAAAAAATCGAGAACAACGGACTGAAACAAACAAGAACAACCAGCAAACACAGAATAGTTTAGTTGCTCAGTGGTCATGCGGAGGGAAGGGGACCATTCTGGGTTGTTCATTATCGGCGGGGCGCCAATTGAAAGACAAGAGGAAACACAATTTGCTGAACATTATTTCGCCTGAAATGAACAAACGGAAGCCCAACATCAAGTGCAGCCAGATTCAGCCTGCAGACCCCAGCAAGAAAACCAAACAAAACTACACATGCTCATAAACTCAAACCCTGGCTTCTTTCGACTGAGCCTGCCCCCCTTGGCGGTGCACGCAAAGCGTAGCGCGCCGCACCGCTCAAACTCGAGCCATTGCGGCTGCGTAGTGAACTGTGACTTTTCATGCTGACATGCAAGCTGAGCATGACTCAAACACTATGAAGGGTTGGCCAATCCTGATCCTCAATCCTTAGTAGGAACCACTGCGAAGGGGACCCCTTGCAACCCAAGGGATGTTCTCGTTGAACAGCCCAGAAGCAGTTGGAAATCATGGTCTGAGTTCAACACGTTCAACACTCTCTTGTAGCGCACTCATGTGAGATGATTTCACGGCCTCATGGTGTCAACATACTCTAAGTTTTGCTAGCGTGACGACCAAACAACACATCCCTTTGGGTACCCTCCACTTCACCTTCGCTGCCCAAATGCAGGAAGACTGTCGGTTGTTTGAGTGGTGGGAAGGTAGGGGAAGCAAATGGCCGGACTAAGAAGGAGCAAAAAACAAGACAGAGAAGGAATAGAGAAAGAAACAAAGAGAGAAAGAGAGAGAGAGGGGAGAGAAAGACAGAAACACACAGAACTAGCTTCGGGCTGTCGCATGCCTTAAACGAACTCCAGTGTAACCACAGGTCCAGATTGCCAGTGCACGGAAAGATGCGCACAAATCCAGCTACTCCAACGCAAAGGCATCAATTCTAACAAGTCGGCAGCCGGCTGCATAATAATTAAGCTATAAGCAAATCTTAAGTAGCAACTCCCTCAGAAGATGCCGCGCCACTCTTTTCGCCGATTTGTGCCTCTCTTGGGCTGGACTTGGGCATGGTACTTGCCCCCGCAAAAATGCAGTGTCAGGCATCGTCCTTCAAGCTGCCTGTCATAGCAAGGAACGGAACTGCAGGATTCTGAAGAGAAGGGCTGCCTTGTGCTGCCCCGGCAGCTAAGCTAGCCCTGGTGTGCTCAAACTGCAGGTGATCCGGTTGTGTGAGTTCCCATCTGGCAGGGCCCCCCCCAACCAGCTGATTCTCTTGCAAACCAGCAAGCCATCCGTTCCTCACAGCTCGAACAGTGAAACATGCTGCGCCTAGACGGCAGTGGGCAACCCCGGCCAGTTCCACGCAAGGCCTCGTGCTCCGCTCATAACCCATCTGCAAGTTTCCGGACGTGAGCTCTGGGAACATGAGCCCAACATGAATAGTTGCTTTGGGCAGCTTGTGAACGGGGCCTGCCTGGCTGACCGCCAAGCCAATATCTGAACCTCGAGCCCAACAAGCCCGATGCAAACTGACAAGAAACGCCATCTAATACATGACTTTGAACTTCAGCAGTGATATTTTTACCCCAACACTGAAACTCCTACTAGGTGCCCCATCACACGTTTGCGCAACTTATTGCCGCTCAAAATTCGTCATTTTAATAGCAGTTACCAAAGCTCACCTATGGCATGTCCCCAGTCTCGTTTCACATCCTCTCCATGATCCCAAACATCTCTTGTGCAAATCATATGGTTGCCGACAGGTACGCGCATACGCTGCTCGGATTGTGGTCCGAGAACGCCTTCCCTCGCAGGCCCTTGGGCCAAGTCATGTTGCGCAGCGACATTTTCATTAAGAAGCTTCTGTTTTGATCCAGTGCCGTTTGTCCAGCAGCTTTCAGCTGCCGAGCAGGCATATCTACCTACACCTCATCAGAACCGGGGCGTCTGTTCAACGCCCCTGGCTTCT